GGTATTACATTACATTACATGTTAATTGTTAGACGCTTTTATCCAAAGCGACTTAAATACGGTATGTGTACATACATAATGTATAAGTATTTAAATTTAGAGGGACAGTATCAAAGTCCTGACTTCAAGAGTTCAGCAGTCTTATTGTGTGTTGAATCAAGCTGTGTAGGCCTGTTAGTGTGTTACCGTCTACCAGACAGCAGAGGGCAGAAAGTGTATTTCTAGTGTGATAAGGGTCTCTAATGATCCTGTACTGCTGGTTCTAGTGTCCATCATGCATCATTATAACAGGGCAAATCAGTATTAAATAAAAGGAATACATATTTTGCCTTATACAATAAGTATTTGTCTGATGACTGATTTGTGTAAATATGAGCTGCTAAAATAAACTAATAACGTAAAAAACAGAAAGACATGTCCGCAAAACAGTGATTTGAAATGTGATGTAAATCCTGCAATGCTTGCTTGGCAGGTTAAATAACACAATACACACATAAGAATGAATGAATGTAATCGTCTTGGCTAAAAACACCTTCCTCTGTCTCTGTGTTTTTAGGTGAAGCCACGGACAGGAGTGTGTGTGATGGAACTGAAGATATAAAGATGCTCCAGAGCTCATACACTGACACATCTCAACTTCGAGGCACTAACATGGTGTACAAGGCTGTCTATGCAATAGCGCATGCCATTCATAACGCAGTGTGTCAGAAAACTGATTCTAATACACAGTGGGATAAGTTCACTAAGCTAGAGGCCAAAGAGGTCAGTACAAATAATGATGTTCTTTTCAAGCTGCACGTCTATGTTATCAAATGAATGCTCATTTTACTTTAAAATTATTTATTTGATCCCCTTCACTATCTTCCTTTACTTCATCCCTAGGTTCTTAATCAGTTGAAAAAAGTTAATTTTTCCCAAAATGGTTATGATGTGTCATTTGATGCCAATGGGGATCCTGTGGCCACATATGAGCTGGTAAACTGGCAAAGAAATGAGAGTGGCAGCATTGAGTTGGTGACTGTGGGGCGATACGATTCATCACTGCCGGTGGGCCAGGAGTTCCTTATCAACAGGAACCTCACCTGGGTGGAGGGTGGCACACAGGTGAGGAGCCCCAAAGCAATTATTTAACATGTTACATTTTCATATCATCTTAAAGGGTATAGAGTCTTTAATTTTTATAAAGAGTTTAAGGTCTCTGAAATGTTTTATTCTGACCATAAATATTATGAGGGTACCTCATACAAATTCCAATGTTACAAAATAATGAGAGAGTATTTTTAGTATAAAAGTTACGTTTATTATTTAAAATACGCGTTTACTTACTTTTTATGGAGTGGAGTAAAGTGACACAATTAAAGGTTTTATATAAAATACTTTTATCTAGATAAGATAATCACTTTCAGACTGCTGAAACTTACTTTAGCTTTAGCTGATTTTTTTTCTCACAAAAACTGGATTGTATCGCCTTGGCAGTGAGGTTGAAAATACAAAAATGTAAAAGACACAAAGAAAAACCTTGTGAAGAAAAAAACATGAACCTATCCTTTTATAATTTTAGCTTCAGAGCACACCTGTCTACATGTGAGTTAATTTGTATATATGTGACAGGTGCCTGTGTCAGTGTGCACTGACAGCTGTCCTTCAGGAACTCGTAAAGTGCTTCAGAAAGGAAAACCCATCTGCTGTTATGACTGTACACCGTGTCCCGAGGGAGAGATTAGCAATGCTACAGGTATTTGTTTTTCTAATGTATGTCCACAACATAAAATATAAATTCCAACTGCTTAAAGCTGTTTTCTTTTTTTCAGATTCCTTTGATTGTTTCCCTTGCCCCAAGGAATTCTGGCCTAATGCAGAGAGAGATACATGTCTTCCCAAACCTGTAGAGTTTCTTTCCTTGAACGAGCCCCTTGGAATCGTCTTGTCTGCTTTTTCAATCGGTGGTGCCTGTCTCACCATTATAACAGCGGCTGTGTTCTATCGTCACAGGAGCTCACCAATTGTCAGGGCCAACAACTCTGAGCTGAGCTTCTTGCTGCTCTTCTCCCTGACTCTATGTTTCTTATGTTCATTAACGTTCATTGGAGCACCCTCGGAATGGTCCTGCATGCTGCGCCACACAGCGTTTGGGATCACATTCGTCCTCTGCATGTCTTGTGTTCTTGGAAAAACTATAGTAGTTCTGACGGCCTTCAGAGCAACACTACCAGGTAGTAATTTGATGAAATGGTTTGGGCCTTCACAGCAAAGATTGACTGTAGTGTCTTTCACGTTTATTCAAGTTTTGATATGTACTATTTGGTTAGTTCTTAGTCCCCCCTTTCCAATGAAAAACCTCACGACATACAAGGAGAGAATCATCCTGGAGTGTGCATTAGGATCAGCTTTGGGGTTCTGGACTGTACTCGGGTATATAGGCTTACTGGCTGTCTTTTGCTTTGTGTTAGCTGTCCTAGCTCGGAAACTACCTAATAACTTTAATGAAGCCAAGCTTATCACATTCAGCATGTTGATATTCTGTGCAGTCTGGATCACATTTATCCCAGCATATGTCAGCTCTCCTGGGAAATATACTGTGGCTGTGGAGATATTTGCCATTCTGGCCTCCAGTTTTGGACTAACTATGTGTATATTCGCTCCTAAATGTTTTATTATTTTATTTAAGCCAGAGAAAAACACCAAGAAACATTTAATGAGCAGGGGTTTGTAAAAAGTGTAGATGGCTTTATAAAGCTTATACTGTGCACATTCAAATATGCTTTCCTTGTTGATTTAAATATTCATATTGGAGTTTCTTTTATGCTAAATATTTTACTATTTGTAATGTCATTTTGTGAATTTACTAATAATGCCCTATTTTACAATACATTTTGATCAGTTGCTGAAAATATAAAATAAAATTAATAAATAAAGTCAACATTCAGACCGTGTGTGGTACTTGATAAACATTTCCAAAAAAATATTAAATACTGCATAATCGTAAGAAAAGCTGGCTGAATTGCTATAACATTATTGCCAAAGAGGAAAATACAACATCCCATAGTCCACAAATCCTTCAACAAGTGATCATTGTTTTTTGAATATTCTTATTATTATATTTAAAATATAACAATTTTCATAGATTGCATCTTTTGGGACACAGCACACCAACTGAAACACATACAATGCTCAGCTGTGAATCAGCCATAAGCATACGCACCATTATAAAATGCTCATTAGCTTTACAATATGATGTAGCCACCCGTAGGTGGTAGGTCTGGGTTTGTTTGGTCTAAAATAAATCGGATATTTCTGAATCATCTGAGTCTTAAAGGTAGGCTAGGTAAGTTTGAGAAACCGGCTCGAGATCGCTAGAATTTGAAAATACACAACCGGAGAAAATCTGCCACTTCCTTATAGAGCCCCTCCTCATACAAACACAAACGCGCACATGACCAATGAAGGCACGAGATAAGTTTGTGCACAGATGGAAGGCTGACAGGCAGGTAGGCCATCCAGTTATTTTAGCCGGGCCGGCTAAAATGATTGGTCGTACTTTTTACAGTATTACGGCTTCCACAGATGACATTTTTTTATGGATTTTTTGTCAAAGCACTTAAGATATTAATCGCTATCGGGATGTTAAGAGCATTCCATGGAATATAACAAAAAGTGTATCTCGAGCCGGTTTCTCAAACTTACCTACCCCACCTTTAAAAGGCAACAATTAAAATGAAATGCAATTGTTCAAATGGAATTTCATTAAGTACATTTTGTATCATCCTTTAATGTATATTCTCAAAAGTAACCTGGAACTGTTCCAGTCTTAGTAATAGACACTTAAAAACCTTTTAATACTATTGTTTAATTTAATAATTAATCACATTATTAGTCAATCTCCAAACACATTTCACACGAGCCGTCCGTAGTCTTCACCTATGCAATTGTTTTTCGTTGTTAATATCCAGACCATATCTTTGAATTTCAGTCATCTTGTAGTCTATCACGTATTATTTTAAAATCTTAAAGTTTTAACATTAACACCGATGTCTTGGTGCAGCATCAACTCCCAGGGACTGCGCTTCTCACGTGCAATGGTGTTCGCCATCGAGCAGATTAACAACAGCACGGAGCTGCTTCCGGGCATCAAGCTTGGTTATGAGATCTATGACTCATGTGACTCGGTGTCCGTGGCGGTGCATGTTGCATTTCAGCTTTCAGGAGGACTAGACCCGGTGTTTAACACCCGCGACAAATGCTCAAAGTCTGGTATGGTGATGGCCATTGTTGGTGCGTCTGGGTCCACGTCTACCATCAGTATGTCGCGCATCATCGGCCCTTCAACATACCTCAAGTAAATATTAAGAATTTATTGCAAACTGTGTTTGAGTCCATTACTTGTTTTGCCTCTGTCCCGTTAAATAACTGTTGTTTTCTTTAGGTGAGCTACTTTGCCACGTGTGCATGCCTGTCTGATAAGCAGCAGTACCCGAGTTTCTTCAGAACAGTCCCGAGTGATCAATTCCAGGCTGACGCGCTGGCCAAGCTGGTAAAACACTTTGGCTGGACTTGAATAGGTGCTGTCCGGTTGGATTCTGACTATGACAACAATGGCATGGCATCTTTCCTGCATGCAGCACGTAAAGAGGGGATCTGTGTGGAATACTCCGAGTCTTTCTCTCGGGCCCACCCACGTAGCCGGATCCAGAGAGTAAGTGACGTTATCCGCAGGTTTCTATATCACTTATTCTCCTTTTGTTCACTGTGCTGACACTGACCTTCTGCACAGAAAAATCAAAACAAGTTCTTTAAGTGATGGAACATGTTTTTATTACAACAGGAAATGTGCCAATATATCTGTTTACCATCTCTCATGTTTTGTTTTTCTTCATACTTATAATAATATTGTTATAAAAGACAATATTAGTCTTATATTATAACTATTGTTTTTATATGTCATTGAACGTCCCTCCAGGTCAAAGGCTAAGGTTGTTCTGGCATTTATTTCCACTGGAGATATGAGGATTCTGCTGGAGGAGCTGTCACGTAAGCCTTCCCCACCTCGCCAGTGGATAGGTAGTGAGGCCTGGGTAACCGACCGAGACATGCTGAGGTTCCGCTTCCTTGCTGGAGCCATTGGATTTGGCATTGAAAAATCTGTCATCCCAGGTCTGAGGGACTTCTTGCTGGATCTCTCTCCGTCTAAAGTGGCTGACTCGCCATTGCTTACCATGTTCTGGGAGGAAGCATTCAACTGAAGGCTGGTAAAAAGTGAGAAAGTTGTGCCAATTTTAAACATACATGATACTCACGGTAGTGTCTTGATTGTGTTAGTTTTTTTTATTTTCTGTCTAAGTGAAGCTCCCTGAATTGATCAGCCTGTTAAAGACCAAACCCCAGATTTTGACTGAAAGGAAAATCTAATATTTTTAATGAAATACATGAGGCGGACATAAGTTGCATCTCGGTGAATGATCTCACAATGTGATGTTCAGGTCATGTTTATTAACAATGCTGTCTAATATATTGTAAATAACATACATGTACATTATTCTACATAGGCTATTATGCAGTGATTCCAGACTGTTTATTGGTTTAGATGAAAGCGTTTTATTCCTCAATGCACAACAATTTAGGGAAAGTCTCCCTTCAAAAATGGTCATAAAATAAATGCTGAAAAAAAAATCACGCTCTAGAATATGTTTATCCAAAACATATAGTGCAGAGTTAAAATATATGTAAAAAAAATATATATATAAATTGTGGAATATATTTGTTGACAGGTTACAGTCATTGTAAAATAAAGAAGATTAACTTTAAAAAGGAATGTAGTAAATGTATGCTTCATGAGAAGTAATATATACACGGTATTACATTACAGTACATTACATGTTACTTGTTAGACGCTTTTATCCAAAGCGACTTAAATACGGTATGTGTACATACATAATGTATAAGTATTTAAATTTAGAGGGACAGTATCAAAGTCCTGACTTCAAGAGTTCAGCAGTCTTATTGCGAGTTGAATCAAGCTGTGTAGGCCTGTTAGTGTGTTACCGTCTACCAGACAGCAGAGGGCAGAAAGTGTATTTCTAGTGTGATAAGGGTCTCTGATGATCCTGTACTGCTGGTTCTAGTGTCCATCATGCATCATTATAACAGGGCAAGTCAATATTAAATAAAAGGAATACATATTTTGCCTTATACAATAAGTATTTGTCGGATGACTGATTTGTGTAAATATGAGCTGCTAAAATAAACTAATAACGTAAAAAACAGAAAGACATGTCCGCAAAACAGTGATTTGAAATGTGATGTAAATCCTGCAATGCTTGTTTGGCAGATTAAATAACACAATACACACATAAGAATGAATGAATGTAATCGTCTTGGCTAAAAACACCTTCCTCTGTCTCTGTGTTTTTAGGTGAAGCCACGGACAGGAGTGTGTGTGATGGAACTGAAGATATAAAGATGCTCCAGAGCTCATACACTGACACATCTCAACTTCGAGTCACTAACATGGTGTACAAGGCTGTCTATGCAATAGCGCATGCCATTCATAACGCAGTGTGTCAGAAAACTGATTCTACTACACAGTGGGATAAGTTCACTAATGGCGCGTTTCCATTACAGCGCTGAGCCCCGTTTTAAGAGAGCTGTGACGTCAGCGGCCCGTCTTTGGTTGCGTTTCCACTTGGCCTAGTACCGGCTAGCTGGTCCTAATTCCAACCCAGTCTCACGGCATTTCGTGTTATTAGTCACAACATTAATTTAATCTATTGATTCGTGTTCACCAACACGATTTTCAATTTTTTTTCGTGTCACACAGAACGATTTTAAATGCAATGTATTTCTATTGGTAGTATGTTTCGTGCCTGCAACACGTCTTTTTGTCCGGTCGGGTCTTGGAAGACCAGAAGCTGTGTGGTTCATAAAAACATGTTCTTACTCAATATCTTACCCTAAGCCTAACCCTATCCCTTTTATTTTAAATTGTATAATGTCTAAGTTTTTTTGCCGTCAGTGAGGAAAAGAAATGGGGCTCAGAGCCTCAGAATACTGAAATCTGTATTTTATGTCATCTTTTTTTCCTTCTAATTTGTTATTATTTGGTGCAGGCACGAAACATACTACCAATATAAATACATTGCTTCTAAAATCGTTCTGTGTCAGAATACTTAAATCTGTATTTTTTTAAATGTCTTTTTCCTTCTAATTTGTTATTATTTACATTGCTTTTAAAATCGTTCTGTGTGACACGAAAAAAATGTCGAAATCGTGTTGGTGAACACGAATCAATAGATTAATTTTGTGACTATAACACGAAATGCCGTGAGACTGTGTTGCCTAATTCACAGTTTTTCTGGCCCCGTAAAATCGTGGTTCTAGGGCCAGGAACAACCAGGCTGAGTCGGGCTGAGTATGCTAAACTAGAGAGAGAATCGCTGGCAAGGGGGCTACAACTACAACAAGATGAACATATTTGACCGTGATTTAATTGTAATACACGTTTCAAAATGATGCCGAAGTAACAACATACTGATACCGGTTAGTAAAAACCATGAATTAATGCTTTGACAAGTCTGCAGACAGACGGCAGGTGAAAAACCTTTTAAAATGCGTGTTTTCTAAATGGAGATTGGCTAAGCTAACGCAATATATGCTCCGACCGTCCACACTCACAACAACGGCCTATACACACATAAATAAACCAGTGACTGTACTCGCCATGACACAGACAGTCTGTGGTTTGTACTTGTTTAACTTTTGTCTAGTTTCTGAACAGATATGAGGAGCTGTGAGCTCTGAGTGCTAACAGCTAACGGCTGTGTTGTTTTTCTGGGGTTCTCATTGAAGATGACGTCATGGCTCCGCCTACACTGCGTTACTATAGATACTACCCCAGTTCCTAAACTGTAATGGGAATGCGCCATAAAGTGAGCCAGTCCTAACGAGGCCTAGCCATACCGAGCGAGGCCGAGCGAGGCCGTGTAGTGGAAATGCGCCATAAGCTAGAGGCCAAAGAGGTCAATAAAAATAATGATGTTCTTTTTAAGCTGCACGTCTATGTTATCAAATGAATGCTCATTTTACTTTTAAATTATTTATTTTATCCCCTTCACTATCTTCCTTTACTGAGCTGGTAAACTGGCAAAGAAATGAGAGTGGCAGCATTGAGTTGGTGACTGTGGGGCAATACGATTCATCACTGCCGGTGGGCCAGGAGTTCCTTATCAATAGGAACCTCACCTGGGTGGAGGGTGGCACACAGGTGAGGAGCCCCAAAGCAATAGTTTAACATGTATGATGTCTCATACCTCGGTACCTCATTAGAATTCCAATGTTACGAATAATGAGAGAATATTTTTAACATGACATTTACGTTTTATTGTTTAAAATACTTCTTTTTTTTTAACTAAACAGAAATGTAAAAGACACAAAGAAAAACATTGTGAAGAAAAAAACATGAATCTATCCTTTTATAATTTTAGCTTCAGAGCACACCTGTCTACGTGTGAGTTAATTTGTATATATGTGACAGGTGCCTGTGTCAGTGTGCACTGACAGCTGTCCTTCAGGAACTCGTAAAGTGCTTCAGAAAGGAAAACCCATCTGCTGTTATGACTGTACACCGTGTCCCGAGGGAGAGATTAGCAATGCTACAGGTATTTGTTTTTCTAATGTATATCTACGACATAAAATATAAATTCCACCTGCTTAAAGCTTATTTCCTTTTTTTTCAGATTCCTTTGATTGTTTCCCTTGCCCCAAGGAATTCTGGCCTAATGCAGAGAGAGATACGTGTCTTCCCAAACCTGTAGAGTTTCTTTCCTTCAACGAGCCCCTTGGAATCGTCTTGGCTGCTTTTTCAATCGGTGGTGCCTGTCTCACCATTATAACAGCGGCTGTGTTCTATCGTCAAAGGAGCTCACCAATTGTCAGGGCCAACAACTCTGAGCTGAGCTTCTTGCTGCTCTTCTCCCTGACTCTATGTTTCTTATTTTCATTAACGTTCATTAGAGCACCCTCGGAATGGTCCTGCATGCTGCGCCACACAGCGTTTAGGATCACATTCGTCCTCTGCATGTCTTGTGTTCTTGGAAAAACTATAGTAGTTCTGACGGCCTTCAGAGCTACACTACCAGGTAGTAATTTGATGAAATGGTTTGGGCCTTCACAGCAAAGATTGACTGTAGTGTCTTTCACGTTTATTCAAGTTTTGATATGTACTATTTGGTTAGTTCTTAGTCCCCCCTTTCCAATGAAAAACCTCACGACATACAAGGAGAGAATCATCCTGGAGTGCGCATTTGGATCAGCTTTGGGGTTCTGGGCTGTACTTGGGTATATAGGCTTACTGGCTGTCTTTTGCTTTGTGTTAGCTGTCCTAGCTCGGAAACTACCTAATAACTTTAATGAAGCCAAGCTTATCACATTCAGCATGTTGATATTCTGTGCAGTCTGGATCACATTTATCCCAGCATATGTCAGCTCTCCTGGGAAATATACTGTGGCTGTGGAGATATTTGCCATTCTGGCCTCCAGTTTTGGACTAATTACGTGTATATTCGCTCCAAAATGTTTTATTATTTTGTTTAAGCCAGAAAAAAACACCAACAAACATATAATGAGCAGGGGTTTGTAAAAAATATAGATGGCTTTATGAAGCTTATACTGTGCACATTCAAATATGCTTTCCTTGTTGATTTAAATATTCATATTGGAGTTTCTTTTATGCTCAATATTTTACTAATTGTAATGTCATTTTGTGAATTTACTAATAATACCCTATTTTATAATACATTTTTATCAGTAACTGAACATATAAAATAAAGTGAATAAATAAAGTCAACATTCAGAGCGTGTGTGGTACTTGATAAACATTTCCAAAAAAATATTAAATACTGCATACTCGTAAGAAAAACTGGCTGAATTGCTATAACATTATTGCCAAAGAGGAAAATACAACATCCCATAGTCCACAAATCCTTCAACAAGTTCATCATTTTTTTTTTTATATTCTTATTATTATATTTAAAATATAACCATTTTCAAAGATTGCATCTTTTGGGACACAGCACACCACTGAAACACATACAATGCTCAGCTGTGAATCAGCCATAAGCATAAACACCATTATAACATGCACATTAGCTTTACAATATGATGTAGCTACCAGTAAGTGTTAGGTCTTGGTTTGTTTGGTCTAAAATACATCTGATGTTTCTGAATCATCTAGTCTTAAAAGGCAACAATTAAAAATAAAATGCAATTGTTCAAATGGTACATTTTGTATCATCCTTTAATGTATATTCTCAAAATTAACCTGGAATTGTTCCAGTCTTAGTAATAGACACTTAAAAACCTTTCAATACTATTGTTTGAAATTAATTTAATAACTAGAAAATGCATTTCCTGCAGAAAATGCGTGCAAATGCTGTAAACTGTGAACATTTGTGGCTGAATTTTGCTGAAAATGCAGAAAAAGCTGAATATGTTATTAGCTGAATGGTAGCTGCTTTTAGCTACAAAAATGCAGAAAAAGCTTAATATTTAAAAGAATAGGTTTAAAAAAAGGTATAAACAACAACATGTATAGCCTTGATGGCAAAGGCATTTGATGACACCCCGTAATATGCTTAGATGTGTTGATGGCTGCATCGTTACCAAACCTGTGAAGTTTTGGGCCATTTCGAGCATTTTCACTGTAGTTATGAGAAAACCGTGTTTCATGGTGAGCATTGTGTTGCCATGGCAACGGCAATTGAAGAAATCTCAAAACTGTCCCGTAGATGTCTTCACGGCTGGACTGTTAGCACACATGTGAAGTTTGAGCACTTTTTGAACATTTTCATAGGAGTTATACATTACTTTTGGAGGTTACATTACTCTCTCTCTTCTCTTGATCGCCCTCTCTCTTCTCTTGATCACCCTCTCAATCTTCTATCGCCCTCTCTCTCTTCTCTTGATTGCCCTCTCTCTTCTCTCTCTCTTCTCTTGCTCGCCCTCTCTCTCTTCTCTTGCTCGCCCTCTCTCTCTTCTCTTGATCACCCTCTCACTCTTCTATCACCCTCTCTCTCTTCTCTTGATCGCCCTCTCACTCTTCTCTTGATCGCCCTCTCTCTCTTCTCTTGATCACCCTCTCACTCTTCTATCACCCTCTCTCTCTTATATCACCCTCTCTCTCTTCTCTTGATCGCCCTCTCTCTCTTCTCTTGATCGCCCTCTCTCTCTCCTCTTGATCGCCCTCTCTCTCTTTTCTTGATCACCCTCTCACTCTTCTATCACCCACTCTCTCTTCTCTTGATCGCCCTCTCTCTCTTCTCTTAATCGCCCTCTCTCTCTTCTCTTGGTCGCCCTCTCTCTCTTCTCTTGATCACCCTCTCACTCTTCTCTTGATCACCCTCTCACTCTTCTATCACCCTCTCTCTCTTCTCTTGATCGCCCTCTCTCTTCTCTTGATCGCCCTCTCTCTCTTCTCTCTTCTCTTGATCGCCCTGTCTCTCTTCTCTTGATCATTCATCATCATCGGTGTGTGTCTGTGTGAGAGAGAGAGAGAGTGTGTGTGTGTTTGTGTGTGTGTGTGTGTGTGTGTCTGTGTGAGAGAGAGTGTGTGTTAATTCAGGGGTTTTCAAAGTGTGGGAAGGTGAGCCTCCCCTCAGAGAACATAAGAACACCCGCGCCCCCCCTCCCAATTATTATTGCTATTATTATTATTAGGGTCTGAGACCATAGGTCGGCGAAGACCCTATTGAAATCGGTCGCGCAGCGACCGATAAACCTGCTAAAAACACCCAAAAACAGGGAAAACGACCGGCAAAAGCACAGAAAAGGTTCGGAAATAGTAACGGCAGATAGTCCGCGCGAGCCCAGTCACGTGGGCGAAGCCCACGTGATTGCAACTCGCATAATTAATATCGTTACGATCAATTTAGTCGCTCGCAAAGCGAGCGATAACCATGCAAAACCCACTAAAAACAGGGAAAAAGACGGGTAAAAGCCCATTAAAAGTGGCCTAAATCATGACAGTAGGTAGCCCAACGGCCTACAGTGACGTGGGCGTAGCGTAGCCCACGTCACTGTAAACGAGCACATTATTGATATTGGTCCGATTATTAGGGTCTGAGACCATAGGTCGGCGAAGACCCTATTGAAATCGGTCGCGCAGCGACCGATAAACCTGCGAAAAACACATAAAAACAGGGAAAACGACCGGCAAAAGCACATTAAAAGTGGCCTAAATCATGACAGTAGGTAGCCCACGCGAACCTAGTCACATGGGCGCTTCGCCCAGCTTATAGCTGATATAATCATCTAATAAGACTGCATTGACGTAGATATGCTGTGCATCTTCACCTATACTTGGGTCCTTGCTCTTTCACTTAAATCCTAAAAACTTGTATCGTACAGATGGAGCATCTTATTTCAGACTCCAGCTTACTGCTTCCTGCCTACTACCAGCCAGTTACCTGCCTAAGACCTGCCAAAGACCAGTATCTGGGAATGTTAAGCCCTCCCACTATTTTCCAAGAAGGCGTTGCCAGATTTTCAATTTCAGGATTTAACCAGGAGATGGCGCTATATATTAAATAACTATGGCCAAACTAAGACTTAGTTTTTCACAAGAGAAAATGCAGATATTATATAAAAAACTAAAGTTAAAATCTTGTTTTTAATGCCCCAAGAGCAATAAAAACACTTGTTAAAAAAATGCTGAGTGAGGCTTTCATAAATTGCATTTAGCTGACGCTTTTATCCAAAGCGACTTACTATTTAATAAATGATTATTCATAACAAATATGAGTGATGTGTGATTATTATTCATGCTATATACTGATATAGGGCTAAGTAAGCAATCAATCCTGCAAATTAACCCTTAGTTGTTCAATATATTTATTCAGACAATGTGAGTAGAAATACAGAAATTCTGCTCCCACCTAAGGCCAACGTTGCAATATTACAACATTTCCCTAAAAACTTACCAAAACGTAAACATTTTTAAAACTCTTTCATTTCTGCTCCAGAGGCCAGGGGTTAAATTGGGATTTGATATGTGGGGGGGCTCTGTTAGAAGGTGCGACGGGGGAGGGGGGAGAGAGTTAGACGCTCGTGAATTGTCAACTGGGGGGGGGGTTGACATCAGAGCATCGTCCTATGGGCTTAGCCCCGGACAGGTACAACAGGTATTCACTCAGAGGGGGGTAGGTACTAAATGCCACCCATTTACATGTAGGCAAACAAAATCAACATACAGTAGGGGGGTGGGGGATGTTGAACGGTATGGTCAATGTTTGTAAACACAATTCCCAGGATGTGTCCTTATCAAACCAAAATAGAAAATGCAGATATTACACTCAAACATTGGAAAAGTCTATGTTAAAAAGCCTCAGTCACCTTAATTCATGTAATAAAAACATCTCAGGTCAGTAACACTGAAAGCTAAATGTGCAATACCATGTTCAGCTATGTTACTATTTATAATGTTATTGTTGTTACAACAGAAGATGTTTTTCTTTATATTGAAGTTAAATGCATCAATCTGGTGCACTTTGAGGTCAAAATTAAGAGATTTATGGATACCGCTGGAAAAAGCTGCATATGCCGAGCCTGTCCGTAGCGCTGTAACTTTCTCCACAAAAGCAGCCTTCTGTTTATTCAACGTGGTGGGGGCCGAGGGAACCGGGCAGAGTTTTTCGCCGGTCAACGCGTGTGAAAGTTTACATCTTCCTTATTGAGCTTTAAAACAAATGAATAACGACTATATATAATAATAAATAAACACCGGCTGTTGTTATGCCTGCTGTAACGTTAAATTACTCCGTTCTCCGCTTAAGTAATTATGCCGTTACAAGCTTCATAGTTGTATTTATCATCTAAATTTGCCGAAACAAGTTTAATATTCTGAAAGCCAAGACTTTGTTTATTTGAAATCAGATGAAAACAAACTGTAACGGACCCTGCCGTGTTATCTTGATATTTCCGGCACAGACCCTTTCATACCGGCAATGCGCGATAGAAACAACAGGAACTTCGACAGCATAAATATGCGAACACAAACCTACAGACTGCTGGAGAAGAGATATCACAGGGGGGGTTGGGACACACACATTCCGATGGCCAATTAGTTTTAAACAAAGAGTAGACTCAACATAGGGGGGTGGGGACTGGTGAACGGTATGGTCAATGTTTGTAAACACTGTGACATTTTGACTTTATTTGATCATTTCAGTTAAAAACTAACGTTCATTTTTGAGAAGAGAAATATGAATATGTTAGTGGCTGACCCAGCCCCATGGTCTGTCACAGTAGTGCGGGAAAGAGAAGTGCACTGTTTTGCCTGGCTGGACCTGTAATTTACAGGAAAGGAGTGCACGCTACTAAAGAGACACGCTACCATGGAAACCAAACAATGGTGTTGCTGTATTGAAGTCCGAGTGCAAACAGTCATATTTGGAGCGTTATGTTAGAATGAAACAGCCAGGTCATGACTCACAAAAAAAAAGTGTTACTTCACTAACTGTAAGCTTGTCACTCAGAGTAACCTACATTCAGTGGCGGCTCCAGAGTATTTTTGTTGGGTAATCTATGGTAGGGCTAACCCATACAGTGGTGGGGCTCAAGTCAGTATTTGCAATGTAATTACAT